TCAGAAAGATTACATATTGGTTGATACTCATCAAGAAGACTGTACACAGTTAAATCATTAGTGAGTTGTTTTAGTAATACTACTACTAGTAATGTGACTTTCATAATCCAACACGCCTTGGGCAAGTATATCCTAATGGAAATGATGAATTATGCAAACAATTAGTCGCTTTGATGATGATGATGACGGAGGTTATCTGAACAATATGTGTGATGTATTTGCACAATACACATTTTGAACAATCTGATCATACACTGACTTGTCACAGGGCATTTTATATGAAGGATGAAAATAGAGTGAAGTAAGGTAGATAAATAAAGATAATACAAGATTTGGGAGATATAGGGATAATGATAATAATACATTTCCACATTTCCCTTGGCAAAAGAATGAGATAAAGATTACCAAGGAAGGTTTAAGGTACGAGCAAATTGTTTTTGAATACACAAGGGGGTGAACTTTCGTATAGCTAAGGCTTCGATCAACCTAAGTATACGGTCTTCACAGCTCCAACTGAATGGTTTAAAGGCTATTTTAGGGTCAATCCTGTGGGACAAAACCACTGTACTTAAGTCTAATATAGCTAGGTGGAGAGAGATTAATTACTGAATCTTTGTTCATCGAATCCACACCAACACGTAATAGGAATGACGCAACACCTATACCAGAGATATGGAAAACTTTACTACCAATCAAAAAACAAAGAGATATCAGGTGATAGGACTATAAAATCAGATATCGAAAGAAGTGTGATTACATTGATATGATTATGAGCAATAATTTATGCTCGAAACGTAATCAAGTAAATAATACTGTATCACTGTGCGCTTTATATTAAATAAACAAATCTAATATGGAATTACATTCTACCAGTGCCCAAGTTTTTCACTTAAATCCTGTGACCTATTTCTATAATGTGTTTACTTGTAGATGACGTCTGTCTGCCCCCCGAATTATTTAAATGTAATTATTTTTCTATCCATTTAGGGATATGCCCCACCATTCTCGACTTCATAGTTCGGTTACTCCTCCTCTCTATGCATGTCACCACATACACAAATAAACTGGTATACACTGTGGGATGTGACGTAATCATCTATTCTAGTGATGACGTTTATTTCATTTCATTTCCCCTATAATACTGAGCTTGGCTGAAAAGGATGTCTTTCTAATAGCTGAATTAAGCCTTCATCCTAAGGCCATCCTATTTGATTCCCTTTTATACCGTGGCGTGATGTAAACGTTCATCTTCGAGATAGACTACTGATTAGTTCGTGCCGTTGAGATGGTTTTATAACGATTGGTGAACTTCAGAGGATACGTATTTCCCATGAGTGTCCTTTTCACGAATTTGATTTCTTCTTCCAATGTATCTCTTGTACAGATATGTTGGGTCCTTTTGAGTTAGCATTTTACAATACCACGTTTTTAATATATTGGAAAGAAACTATGAAAGTTTAGGTACTGTCTGATCCACGTAGGTTTTCTATACACTGGTGTTTATAGCGACCCAACTTTCCGCCTAGTTAATAACATGTCAAAAAATGGTAGCGGATTATCATTTTCTGCTTCAGATGACAAACTAATGTGGCTTTGTATGGCGTCTAGTCTATCTAGAAGACTTCGCATTCTCATATTTATTATATATATCATCAACATATCTCCCGTACAGAGGGACTTTGTTGATTCAATCCTCAGCCGAAAGTCCTACATGTGATATCAACTAACCATGGTTTTAAAAGACTATCCACGACGACACCATCAACTTGTCGAAAATGTTCACCATCGAAAGTGAAGTGGACCTTATCGATGCATAGTATTAATAGCCCTTCAAAATTATTTTGGAGAGATAGGGAATGAAGAAACATTCAAGGATATATAATCACAAAGAATATCAACAGTCCTGGCTAAAGGTATGTTGGTAAATAGACAGTTTACATCAAAAGAACATTATCTTTATGCTTTGGGGAGCGACATGTCGGTGCTATTGGACGTTATGGGATATTCGCTTTGTGTATCTTCGGTAAACCATATAAGTTTGGGTGTTCATACCCTGCGGGTTTTAACGAATGAAATCCCTCTTTGTTAATGACATTATTCATGTCAACCTGCAGCTACTTTTCTTTCTGATGTTCTCTGTCGGACGGTCTCTTATGAATTTGCTTTTGTCATTGATAATAGGTAGCACTTTGTCTTTATAATCCTGCATATTCAGATCCCGCATGGCAGATCTCTTATCAGGTTTAAGAATGACTATACCATTTCCATTCCGTAGTTTTTTTCTCAATGCACTGAAGTACTGAGAAGTCAAAATGTTTCTCCGTTTGGAACCAAAGCTACAGGCATCATATACGACCATCGTCAACTTCAGAATCTTTCTATGTAGGACAGAAAGGTTAAATTCAAGAGATAAAGCTTGTTTATCGATGATAAACAGCCATCATCCATCCATCCAGATCAACCTAGGACCAGGCATTACTGCATAACGGTCCAAGATCCCGCACCTCATTTCAGTACATCAAGTGAAAAGGCAGTGAGGCACAAGATGAAGATAAGAAAATCCAGTCAAAAGAAATATAAAGTACAAAAAGAGAGAAACGAAGAATGAGAAAATAGTAAGATTAGGTATAGTGTCGTTAAGATGAGGATAATGTATGTATACATCTGCGCCACTGACATCGGTTCTCAGCCATGCCATTACTTACAGTCTCCAACCACTGGTTCCTCTTGTCCCACCGACCCAACCACCTAGCCTGCATCACCGCACATCGCTCAAACCAACAGTCAAACACTTCATACATTCGTGTCATGTTTTAGTCTGGCCAACTCGGGCCATTCTGCAGCTGCACCTACTCCAGCCAACATTGTGTTACGAGACAATCGGCCACTAGGCATACGTAACACGTGTCCCAACCATCTCAGTCGATGAAAGTTCACAACCTCAACTGATTTACCTCTTCTCCTAACTTGTGCGTTACTCATGTGGTGACACCACGGAATACGGCCTATACTACAAAGGCAACGGTGGTCACACACCTCAAGCCTTCTCATGTCTTCCACTTTCAATGGCCATATTTTACAGCCATAAAGTAGAACAGAGCGGACTGATGTGCAGGTGCAGTATACGCGAGCTTAGTAGATAATTGGATCTCACAGCGGCGCCGTAGGTGGTGTACGTTGGCGAAAGCTAGCCAACCGAGCCTTTTGTATCCATGAGGGGATTGCATCGGCCACTGAGCCACCAGAGCAGGGGTGATCCTACTTCCCAGGTAAGTGAAGTGGTCAACAAACTCAACCACTAAACTCTCTGTCGTTAGCCGTGGCACCCTTGAAGACCAATCCTAGAGCAACAATATGCATTTGCGCGGTGAGAAATGGAAACATTCTCAAATTGCCACTTAAAGTGTTCAGAAAACTCTGCATCTTGTCAGTGTCTTCACCTAACAGGACTATGTCATCTGTATAATCTAGGTCTAACGAAAATTCTCCACAGATTAGGTCAACGTCTGTGTAATCAGGTGACGAGAGGGAAACCTCCATAAGAATATCTATGATAAATTGAATAAGAATAGAGACAGTGGACACCCTTGACGGACACCACTCGATGAGCATTGCTTCCTGGACATCTCACCATAGGCTCTAGCATGCCCACAAGTGTTCTAGTAGAGAGCCTTTAATAAAGTGATGTAGTTACTGGACACACCTTTCAGTGAGAGACATCGCCATAAGACTTCTCGATCAACGCAGTCGAATGCCGCCGTCCTCAGGTCAAGAAATACAGCTGAACAAATGAAAGATTAGTTACATATCTATCTGAAGTTATCAGTTAATATGTGTGTCATCCAACCCCCCCCCTTTCCCCTCCCAAACCCTTTTTTCATCATTGACAAGTAAATATGTGAACAGATTGTTCAAAATGTATTATACTATTCGAATTATGTAAAATCTAATATAATAGGCTATTGGTAAAACAAAACGAGAGAAGGATTGAACAGGATATGTTTATATTGGAAAATGCCTAGAGACAATATAATGCTAGCACACACATATATATCTATACATAATAATGACTATAGTAGTGACAACAATATCCTATACACAGTTGAAGGACAAATGAATTGAGTAATTAATGGATGTAATACGTTTTCCAATCAGTTGATAATTACCAACCTAATTGTTTACAATAACTAACCGACTAACTGATCATTGAAATTAGTTTGAAAAACAATTTATCTCATTCAATTAATGAAATATTCAAGAAGATAGATGAGAATAGAGAACACTACACCAAAGAAAGAAAAAAAAGGGAGTATTTTAATTAACTAATCAAACAGAGCACAGCCAAAAAGAAAAAACATTTCATGAATAACAACTAGTTTAGTAAATCAACAGAGATAAACGAAAAGGATAATAACATTAATTGTAAAAACCAATTCTAACAAGTAATTATAATAATTTTTTAAAAAAACAAAAACTTATTATATACCTAATAATTTTATATTCACCTAGAATATATAATTAATATGTACAACAATGATGATGATGATGATGATGATGATATAAATCCTAAGGATTAGGGAAAAAACCAATTAGTACTGGTAATAAAGTAACACAATAAATTAGAAGGTATATAGCAAGTAGACAAACAGGAACACTTGGTATTACAGAATAACTACTCCTAAGAAAGAAAAAAAAACAACAACAAAGAGACCTGAGAAGGAGTAGAATAATACTATCCTTATAAAGAAATAAATAATATTGGTTAATTAAACTTTATTATTTACTTCCACAAGTCAATAATTTTTCAGATGACGATGATGATGATGATTCGTTTCAATTTATTTTGACGATAACATCCACGTTTCTGATTTCGATTCATTACTCTATTATTATTATTATTATTATTATTATTATTATTATTATTATTATTATTATTATTATTATTAATTGAAGTGAAAGTTGTGAAGTTGAATGAAATAATTGACTAATAGTTGGTAATCTTAAGGAATTGTAATGGTTGATGATAGATAGCCAAAAGTTTGTAATTCATTGAATGTTGTTGAAGGTGAAGTAGAAGGAGACGATGAAGAAGAATTATTTGACTGATTCAATTGTTCAGATGAATCTTCAGGTTTAGGTGTGATACTAACCTCTAAAATAAAAATAAAAATGATAAGTAAGGACAAAAAAACAACCTCACATAGTTAACTAGTTCACTAGTTACTACTAGCTGGTCCTAAGCCTGGGTAAAGAGAGAAGGTTGGGCATAGGGGCTAGCAACCCTAACCCGTAAAACCAATTCAACCGCTAAAGAAACTTCAAAGCATAAACAAAATATAAAAAATAAAAACAAACTTATTTCTCACTGGAATCGGAGAGGCGAGAGTACGCCGGTTGGTGAAAGCCTGCAATCAGGAAGCCAACTGGCCGATGTGTCTTCTCTCGATGAAAATGAAATTAAGAATAGGGGGCATAGAATGTCCGCACCATGTTTGAACCTATTTGGCAAGGCTGCCCAGATTGCAAATATGCAGAAAGAAGTGGAGATGGATTGAGCATAAATTGAGAAAGCAGACTGGGGACATCGCGCGCCAGTCCAGGCACTAGAGTGGAACCCAGATGGGAAACGAAAAGTTGGGCGTCCGAGGCAACGGTGACATGCAGGAGATCGTGTGAGGAACAAATGACAGCTTCTGGGCTGTCGTGGAACCAGGTTCAAAAGTTTGTAGTGCACTGGAAACGTGCTACTGAAACCCTATGTTCCATTAGGAATCCGAGGGACAGATATAAAATAATAAGGACAAAAACTGACCCAGGTATCGATGACTAACATCCAGTCTTAAATCTTTTGCAAAATTATTTCCCACCACAATGCTTCGTAGGTATCTAACTAGCATATGGTTTGAATATTTGTTTATTCTCTTTTTTCCTATCCACCTGTTCTTTATGTATTTCTATGAAGCGTGGAAACTGGAGGAGATGCACCTGTGTGCAAGGTTTTATGTTGATTTTGCCAGTCAGTCAATCATTTATATAAAATAGATTTCCTCATCTGGAAACAGATAGACAGTATTTAAAATAATGTTGATCAAAGAAATCAATCTTTATCAACCTCATTCAACAACTGTATGAAGACGCTACACGTCAAGTAATTCACAATGGGAAGCTCATTTATGACATTCAAGTGAAGACAGCAGTAAAACAAGACTACCACACACTATCACCAATGATATTCCTGATTCTGGTCGACTGGACAAGACCATGAAACAAACTGTGAGGAGCGAGAAGATGGGCACACGCTGGTTGCACCGATGAAAACAGCCAAGAAGAAAATTTGGATTTCGCCCATCACCATTTATGTCTAATGTCTTGTTCAACAAACTCGAAGCTCTACGGGCAAAAATCAACAAGTTGAGAGAAGAGGCAGGGCAGAGAAGACGGGACTTCCTTCCGGTGAACGTACAGAAGACAGAGGTAGAGGTGACGAAGATGAAGATACCCAACCAACACTACCACAAACAACAACAAACACCAATCACCATCAATGGGAGAAACTTAAAGGAAGTAGTCTCCTTCACCGATCTAGCCAGCACTCTCTCAACTACAGGTGGCGGCACAGACAAGGACGTCAAAACTAGGATCGGAAAAGCAGGACACGCATTCATCAACCTGAAACTAGTGTGGAGATCTTCTGCACTCCACTCAGCATAAAGCGTCAACAATATCCGGATTTTCAGCACCAACCTCAGTCAAGTCAGTGCTTCTATGTTGTGGTTGAGAGACTTGGCGCGTTACGAAAGGTATTTCCAACAAACTACAGATACTCATCAACAACTGCCTACGTTGGTTCCTTGCTGGAGAACAGATGGCCAGAATAATGAGAATAAGCAACAAGGAACTGCGGTTCGCTGGGAACGAACCAACCAAGAACCAAGACCATTCAGGGACATCACGCGCCAGGCACTCGAGTAGAACCCAGATGGGAAGCGGCGAGTTGGGCGTCGGTGCCGATGGTGACATGGAGTGGATGGTGTGAGGAAGAAATGAACGCTTGCAGGCAATCGTGGAGCCAGGTTAAAAAGACTGCAGAGAAGAGAGTGGAATGGAGACGTGCTACTGAAGCCCTATGTTCCACTAGGAACCCAAAGGACAAGTAATAATCATATAACAATAATAAAAATAACAAAGAAATCTATCTCAGGGATACAGAAGTTTAAATTAGCTTACTAATTTACACGTCTTGAAAGAAGTACCGATGTTATATATAAGAGCTGATTAATAAGTTTCAAGTATACTGAACAACGTTTCGCTGTCCTACTGCATAACTGTCACATATTTCTGTAGCAATTGGAGGATATAAGAACGGCTTTATGTGTTCGACCAACATTGCCTGAGTTTCATAGGACCAACACATGATAAACATAGACTAGGCATGAAGTTTCAAGAAAAAGAGGTAAGTCAGTCCACTGAAACGGCCAGAATAAGTGGGGGGTAAATCTCATCTTGTCAAAGTAGGTTTAAATTAGGTAAAAGAGAAGGGCGGTCACACTGAAACATGATACCAGTCCACGAAGTGTCTAACTGTTGATCTCAATGGTGTAACAAAATGCAGACTTCTCAGCTATGTGACAAGTGAAACTGATAGTTAGAGATTCTAGGTGATATGGTTTAGGATCGACCTCAGTGGTGAAGATGCATCTATAGCTTATCCTCATCTTAAGCGTTATATCCCATTTGTTGATTTCTTCTACCCTACGCACTTCTTCTTTCTTTCATCTTATTACCTTGTCCTTTGATTCGCTAATATCTGTGACAGTTTTTTACAGTTATGAAGTTCCTTGTTGTTATTGACTGACTTTTATCGATAATGAGATTCACTTAAATATCTTCAAGATGAAGATGATAGATCTTCTACTGAAATTTATCAGTACTGTAATTAGTACAACAAACTATCGGTTTTCATCCAAGAGGATACAGAATAAGTACCAGCAGGATCATCACAAGCTTCCGAAGGGAAGTAAATGTTAACAAAAGCTAATTTATTTTGAGGTTAGTGGGAATTTTATGTTTAAGGTAGTATTCATATTGGATTGGCATCCGTTGGAGAACCATTGGAACTTAAGAGTACTGAAGCCCCGTTTTGTTCTACTATGGGACTGCTCAACAGTGCCCTCCCATAACCCGGCTACGAATCGAACTCAGGACGTTTAGGTCTCACGGCGAACGCGTTAACCATTCAGCTACCTCGGGGTAGGAGTTCAATGGTCTACAGTTTTCTAATCCTGTCAATTCGCGATACAACGCGACTATCAGATGGCATCGGCTTCCCTTCCAACTGGTTGACCCCATAGGTTATGGCTTCTCATTAAAACTTTGAGATATCCTTCTCGAAGCATAACACTAATGAGTACTATTAACTGCCATTAACCCATTAACCTCAAAATACATTACTTTATAGTGCTTATGACTTCTATGCTTCGAGAAGGATATCCCGAAGTTTTAATGAAAAACCGTGACCTATGGGGTCAACCAGTTGGAAAGGAAGCGGATGCCATCTGAAGACCTTGGGTAATGGTCGCACTATATTGAGAATTGACAGAAGTAGGCAACCGTGTACCCAGTGGTTGAATGGTTAACGCCTTCGCTGAGATCTAAAGGTCGTGAGTTCGACCCCTGACCAGGTTGTGGGTGCGTAGTGTCGAGGGGTCAGAACTAGGACAGACGAAATGGGTGTCCAGTGCCCTTAGGTTTCCAATGCTTCTCCAACTGATGTTAATTAGTGATGAATGCTACTTTAAAAGGTAAGTTGTTTTCCCTTTATAAGGCTGAGATTTGTACATTATAGATTGTTTACCGAAAGTTTCACACCACAAAGGGAAAGAGAATGCAGACTTTAATACAAATAGAAAAATATCAATGAAATGTTGTGGTAAATAATAAGAATTAAATAAATAAAAAACTACCTGTTTGCATTGTGGAAAATTTATGGTATTCCTGAGATTTTTCTATCAGCTCACTAAGTTCAATCCGTAGAATACGTTCGCCTTGGATAAAAGGAAACATGATATTTATTGAAAAATCTACTATAATGACTATTTACAATATAAATATTTCTAAGGAAAAAGTTAAACATTTTTTTAAAATGGTAATGATGGATAGTGGCTAGCAGTGGAATCCAAGATGCGTATTTCGTCCTGTTTTGGACTCGTCAGCTGGATATGGACAGGAGCCGACCAATTCGGTCCAATCAATGATGGTATGATACAATCAGTTGTACTAAAACTTTACCTGTAGCACAAGAAGTGGCTATCACGTATCGGTGGTCTAGTAGATAACGCTCTGGAGTTTGAGGCGGTCAATCCCGAGTTCGAACCCCGGTGGAAACAACAATCACTGGGGGGCAGGCACATCCAGCTGACAAGTCCCAGATAGGACGAAATGCGCATCCTGGATTCCACTGCTAGCCACTAGCCATCATTACTATAATTAAAACACAGGTAATATCGAGACATCCGCACAGAAGTGTCCATATGCCGATAGAGACCGATCATTTCGGTCCAACCAACGACGGTATAATACAAGCAATAATACTAAATACTTTGTGTCAGTTGCTGAAGCGCTTTACTTCATTCCCATTTCAGTAGATAACGTATTACAACGGATGTAAGAGGAAGACTTGGACACCAGGATAAAGTACAGTTTGCTTATTTTAAACATTACTTGGTGAAACAATATCGCAATACGCACTACCAATGAGTGACTTTAAAGACCACCCTAACAAGTACCAAAATAATCAATCAGGTGGCAGTATTTTGTCGGTGAAGATAATTCTTCGTAGAACAGAAAAACGTGACTAGTTAATTTCATCGGTTGCTAGGGTGGCGCCTTTTAAAGTCAATAATCTCAGTTACCCCATGAACTCTGTAAGCCAAGCCCGTTGGCAAGATTTCGTCAGGTGGTGATCCAGTAGTAGAAAATCGAGTGCTTGGATCTATGAATCATAACTTTTATTGAAAAAGTATGATTATCTGTTTATTATGGGAGCTGTAAACTTTTTAAGATATAAAAAGCAAATCTTGAATCGATTGCATCATGAAAGCATAAAGATTGAAATGCACTTAGTAATATGTGATAATTGCTGCAAAATGTACCAAACACTTACGTTCTAAATTTCTGAGGAAAACTTCCGCTTCTGATGTAGAAAGGTATCGGAAGAATGGTTTTAACCATTGAGGATGCCTTCAAGAGAAAAGAAAATAGGATAGTTCAAAAACATATATAAAAGAATAACACTTAGTTTTTAGGCTTATTTCTCAAGGTATAGGCTATATTCTAAAAAGTTTGTTAACGTCTAATCTACCGGATATAACACGGAATAAAATTCGATAGATGCGGCGTATAAGGTGACAAATCATATAGTGTCCTCCTTTGATTTGGTCAATGATATGGAACTTTATACAAAATTCAATCTTCATGATAAACGCTTTTAACTAGTCCTACAAATAATCCTTCGACATATGTAGGGGACTTTGAAAAATGCATATTATTCTCTATGCAAAATGTTTCATACATCGACTTTAAATATGAACATTCTATGAAAAATAATTTCATTTCCATAATGGCGATTTTTCAACAACTATATGAAGACGCCACATGTCAAGTAATTCACAATGGAAAGCTCATTTATGACATTCAAGTGAAGACAGCAGTAAAACAAGACTACCACACACTATCACCAATGATATTCCTGATTCTGGTCGACTGGACAAGACCATGAAACAAACTGTGAGGAGCGAGAAGATGGGCATACGCTGACTGCACCGGTGAAAACAGCCAAGAAGAAAATTTGGATTTCGCCCATCACCATTTATGTCTAATGTCTTGTTCAACAAACTCGAAGCTCTACGGGCAAAAATCAACAAGTTGAGAGGAGAGGCAGGGCAGAGAAGACGGGACTTCCTTCCGGTGAACGTACAGAAGACAGAGGTAGAGGTGACGAAGATGAAGATACCCAACCAACACTACCACAAACAACAACAAGAAGCACCAATCACCATCAATGGGAGAAACTTAAAAGAAGTAGCCTCCTTTACCGATCTAGCCAGCACTCTCTCAACTATAGGTGGCAGCACAGACGACGACGTCAAAGCAGCCAGGATCAAAAATACAGCAAGACAGGCGTTCATCAACCTGAAACTAGTGTGGAGATCTTCTGCACTCCACTCAGCATAAAACGTCAACAATATCCGGATTTTCAGCACCAACCTCAGTCAAGTCAGTGCTTCTATGTTGTGGTTGAGAGATTTGGCGCGTTATGGAAGGTATTTCCAACAAACTACAGATACTCATCAACAACTGCCTACGTTGGTTCCTTGCTGGAGAACAGATGGCCAGAATAATGAGAATAAGCAACAAGGAACTCCGGTTCGCTGGGAACGAGTCAACCAAGAACCTATCGCCCAAAAAATATGCAGAAGAAAGTGGAGATTGATTGGGCATAACACTGAGGAGGCCGACTGGGGATATCACGCTTCAGGCTAGGCCAGGTACTCTAGTGGAACCCCTATGGGAAGCGACGAGTTGGGCGTCGGTGCCGAGAGTGACATGGAGGAGATCGTGCGAGGAGGAAACGAGAGCTTGTGGGCAGTCGTGGCGACAGGTTCAAAAGATTGCAGAGAAGAGAGTGGAATGGAGACGTGCTACCGAAGCCCTATGTTCCAGTAGGAACTCAAGCGATAAATAATAATAATAGTAATAATAATGTCAATTTTTTATCGTGGGCAATGTTTTATAGAATTAACATGAACATGCTATTGTTGTGAAGGTTGATGTTCATTAGCTTACAACTTAATTGGAGAGCTGTTCAAATTGCTCCTCAAAGTTACAGTTATCATTTCAATCCCCCTTGCAAAACAGATAATCAATCTATCTCTTTCAACGATAACTATGGCAACCAGTCGAGTTCTAAGGATTACCTAGATATCTAGTAGATAATAAACAAACTAGTTAACACAGTGAATACAAAGGAAGTATGTGAGAAATTCTAGAAGTGCCGGTATGAAATTAAAGTGTAGTTATTTTAAGAAACTGTTCATGTACTAAATAACAACACAGATATTTGATAAAAGGTGACTTACGTTAAGAAGGTTTTTCCATATGTCTTAGTACTATGACGAGTGTATGCTGCAGATGATTTTAGTCGACGATTAAGAGGCGGACGTCCACGACGACGATGTACAGGTATTGACGATGGAGTTTCTACAGCTTCAGTTAGCCATGTAAGGCTTTTAAGAGAATTATTTATCTCAGGATTGGATAAAATATCACTTTGTGATATCCTCTTCTCAGGAGATATATTGGATAGTGTTTGGTTACAACAGTCGACATTATGATCTTCTGATTTTGGTATGCTAGGAATATCAACAACAAAAAATTGTATTACACTAAGAAAAAACAGAAATTTCCTAAATAATGTCAACATTTCACTCGGTGCCCAATATTTGATAGGCTATTCGGTGAAGTCTTGATAAAACTTCATACAAATAAAAATTTAGTTATGTTTTTTCAAAATAATTTATGTGTGGTTACTGAATTTTCTTATCGTTGCTGATGTAGAGTACAAAGTCATGGTTAATGATCACATTTCCACGTTATATCTGGAAATATTTTATGTTGGACATATGATCTGGCTGGTGAGCAGTCGGAGTGGTTTTTAACTAACGAAGTTGTTCAGTTGTAGTAGTAGACTATGTGTCAGAGATCACACCTTATGATCTTGGCTGAGTAGTTTTCAACGGAAACTCTGTTGACACCACAGTTGAGTAGTTGAAAAACGACTCAGAACCAGTGCAGTGCAGGGATGAACAACGAAAGAGGAACTGAGTACGACGTATAAAACATTGGACAAAGAAGTGAGGAAGAGTGTGCGCAAACACAAAAGACACTTCCATGACACATTGGCAAGAGAAGCAGAACACGCTGCAGGTAAGAGAGACAGAGACCTGACAACATTATATCAAATAATGAGGTTATTACCTGGGAGGGAAGAGATCAACTCAGAGGAAACCAATGAAAGACAGTGAAGTAAACCTAGTCACCAAAGAGGAGAAACAAAGGAAACCATGGATTGACCACTTCAAAAAACTCTTGAATCGACCACCACCATAACCTGCAACTCGTCCAGAAATACCACCAGCAGCCCAACCACAGAACTACCAGTGAACACAAGCCCTCCGACAAGCAGAAGCGAAGTCCTGAATGCCATAAAACTGCTTAAATCCGGGAAAGCAACAGGACCTGACCGAATTCCACCAGAAGCACTAAAAACAGATGCAGAGACAACAGAGGACACGCTCACACCACTATTGCAGAAGGTTTACAAGGAGGGAAGGAAAGGTACCTGCAGGTTGATTGGAAGAAGGGCTACCTTGTCAAACTCCCGAACAAGGGAGACCAAAGTCTCTGTCAGAACTGGCGCGGAATCATGCTTCTGTTCATCTCAAGCATATATATGGCCGCATCATCCTGGGGAGACTGAATGATGCCCTGGATACAAAATTACCACAGGAACGGGCTGGCTGACTGGCTTCGGGAAGAACAAATCATGTGCGGATCAAATTACAACCCCACGCTACGCATCATCTTACAACAAAGCATAAAATGGCAGTCAACTCTCTTTACCTCAACTTCATCGATTTCGAAAATGCCTTCGACAGCATCGACCGAGAAGTCAGTTGACAGGCAGGCAGCTGCTTCAACACTACGACTTCAATGTCATTCAACAGCAGTTATGTGCTATATGATGCTGCATGCCAAGTGATTCACAATGGAAAGCTCGGAGACGCCTTTGAAGTGAAGATGGGAGTAAGACAAGGTTGCCACCCACTATCACCAATGATATTCCTGGTTGTGGTCGACTGGACTGGATTATGCAGCAAACGTGAGGAGTGAGAAGATGGGCATAGGCTGGCTGGACCGATGGAGAGAGCCCAGAGGAAAATTTGGATTTCGCCCATCACCATTTATCTAATGTCTTGTTGAACAAACTCGAAGATCTGCAGGTGAAGACTAACAAGTTGAGAGAAGAGGCAAGGCAGCGAAGACGGACTTGCTTCCGGTGAAGGTAGAGAAGACAGAGGTAGAGGTGATGAAGATACCCAACCAACAACAAGCTCCAATCACCATCAACGGGAGAAACCTAAAGGAAGTAGTTTCTTTCATCTGCCTACCCAGGCAGTATCGTTTCAACTACAGGTGGCGGCGGCACAGATGAGGATGTCAAAGCCAGGATCAGAAAGATAGCAACACAGGCCTTCATTAATCTGAAATAATTAGTGTGCAGATCTACTACACTCAGCATAAAGAACAAGATCTGGATTTTCAACACTAATATCAAGTCAGTGCTTCCATATGATGGTTGAGATACTTGGTGCCTAATGAAAAGCATTTCCAATAAACTAGAGACTGACATCAACAGCTGCCGCCTATGCTTACTCGATCCTGAAGATCAGATGGCTAGAATAATACGAATAAGCGATATAGAACTCTGGCTGGCAATGAGCCAATCAAGAACCCAACGCCCAACAAATACGCAGAAGGAAGTGGAGATGGACTGGGCATACACTGAGAAAACCATTCGGAGACATCAGGCGCCAGGCCATTCCCTCGAGTGGAATCCAAAAGAGAATGAACGAGTTGGGCGTCCGTGACGAGTTTGACATGGAGTAGATGGTGTGAGGAAGAAATGAACGCTTGCAGGCAGTCGTGGAGCCAGGTTAAAAAGACCGCAGAGGACAGAGTGGAATGGTGATATGCTACTGAAGCCACTAGGAACCCAAGGGACAAATAGTAATAATAATAACATACCACTTTCTCGACTTCTGTTATTGTTGGGGATCTATCTCGATGTTCCATTCAGGATCCAGCTGGATAGCGGGAAACGCAATGGTGACTGGAAGCCAGTTAAACTGTTCCTCGAAGTGTTCTGCTCATCGTTCCAGCCGTCTCCCCTGCGAATGAATCGCAGATCCGTCCTTCTCCGCTATAGCCTCACTAACAGCAGTTGACCTCTTCCCCCCAGTGTACTTAATAAGTCTAAGTAACTGTCTACTGTTAACAATCGCCACTGCCTTTCCCATGTCTTTAGCCTTCGCAGCCCACCACTGTTCGCGGTCGTTTCGTAGGCGTTTTCTCAATCTACTTTTAAGTTGCGCTCACTCTTCATTGTACTTAGAGCCTGCAGGGATGCGTTCACGTGTATTCATTAGTTCAGAAGAAGCTGCTGATATCCATTGGCTCTTTTTAGTCAATATTTCGGAGTCGGCTACGGTCAGACGGACGGACATAGCATAACTACATGACGATCCAAGGTTCCACACCTCATAATATCAGAACATCAAGAGAGAATGTACAAAGAAGAAAGATGAAGAAATAAAGAGGAAAGCTAGAAAGTCCCCAATAGACACCAAGGAAAAGTGAGAGAATAATAAAATTTAGTATGACAATTAAAATGAAAATAATACATGGATACATCTGCGCCACTGACATAAATTCTAAGCCGTGTCACCCAGAGTACCCAAAAACTTACTTTTATTGTCTCATGGATCAACCGGAAAATCTACATTTCCCGACACTGCATAGACCAACAGTCAAAGACTTCATGGAATGACGCCATGTTTTAGTCTGGCCACTTTTAACGCTTCTCCAGAACAAACATACTTCAGCTAACATCGCGCGACGAGGCAAACGGCGACCAGGCACCCGTAACACACGTTCCAGATACCTGAGTCAATGAAGGTTCAAAACTATATCAAGTGACTTTCCTATACCACCCAAAACTTTACACTTGGCTTTTATGATCGACAGCTGCTACCCTAACATTTTGGCCAGACATGCATATCACAGTGACCCGACCAGCTACACTGGCTAAAACGTGTGTTTCCTCGAGGTCTTAGCATACCAGTAAGGTCACTTGGATAGTGGTAATGCGAAAAGCAATCGGAAAGTGTCGACCGCCCTCACAACTCACCTATACGGTAGAACAGAGAACTGCAGCACAGTAAACTCGACTCTTAGTAGGCCATCGGATATCACGGTGGTGTCACAGATGGTGTAAGTTGGCGAAAGCCAACTGGATCTTTTGTATCCGTGCGGAGACTTCTTCAGTCAGTAAGTCGCCAAGGCTCATTCCACTTCCCAGTTCAACCGCTTAAACAATGCACGACTGAAGGTCAGCCCTGGAACACCAATTCGCATTTGGGTGGAGATAAACGCATCCCAAACAATTTCAAATTGCAATTCAAAGTATCCAGGATGCTGCATTTTTTCTGCGTTTTTACCTAACAGGACTGTCATCTGAGTACTCTAGGTCTACTAAGAAGTCGTTTGTGACCAGGTCAGTCTGTATAAGATCAGATGACGAGAGAGAGACCTGCGTGAGCACGTCTATGACAAAATCAAATAAGAGTGCAGAGAGTGAACAACCATGACGGGCACCACTCAAAGTGCACAACCCTAACCCTGATAGACTACTATAGGGTCTAACACGTTTATGAGTGTTAGAGGAGAGAGTCTTCATCAGAGTGATGTACTCATTCAGCACCGCTTTCAGTGAGAGACTGTCATAAAACCTCTCGATCAACAGAGTCAAATACAGCCTCCAAGTCAAGAAACTTCCGAAGCATATTTTTCTTGCATTAGTTTATTGAACTTCAAAAAGGTCTGAAACTTGTCTGGTTTTCTAGGGTTTCCTATCCCCGAGCTCAGCTTAGATATCAGGTAATTTTGGAACCTAGAGTCTTAGACACTATGTTCATCACGCTGATTCCTCCATGGTTACTTCAAAGGGACTTCTCATTTTTTTGAGAACTGAGACAATCAGTGATTGTAACCAGTAAGGAGGGATCATATCTGACTCTCCAACAGTAGCTAATACTTCAATTAATCTGACCAATAATTTGCGACCACCATTCTTAGATATCTGCGGTGCCCGTTTATCTGGTCCAGGTGTCCTTCCTCGTTTCATATTACTCATAGCTTTAGTCTATGATTAAGTCATTCCAGTCTTAGATTCTTCAGTCAATCAAGCCTCCCTAAAGATTTATGTGACGGATGCAACCACAAAGAGCTTCGAAAATTTGAAATTGAATACCAGGATAGGGGATGAAAACAGTTTTGAATCCTTTTTCATGTTAACCTTAACTTGATTAATTATTTCAGGTAGACTGATAAACGTTTCGTACACTATTTATGCGGAAGCCTCAATGTGTTTTCTTTACTAACACATATCTCAGTAGGTAGAGTACAATTTGAAACCATGATCCACCAGTTGAGAGTTAAGTATCTAATTCCATGAGTCACAGCTTTATACCACACATTAGCTACAACGACTTGGTAGTCCACCTTCAATGGCACAGAAATAACCAGGGTATGTGGACTTTTCTGTAGTATTCAGCAGATTATTCCCAATGAGGTGAGTTTTCTACAGTAGTTTGCACTTCGAAAGTTTTCATACACTACCATATTGGTAGAGAGTGATAACCAACATAATTTTCAGTGACCCATCTTTGAGTACATCAAACCTAACTAAGGTACAGATGCACAGGTGTAACAAAGCATTCAAGTAGGCAATAAACTTCCCAGCGTTTTAGATATGGTTGATAGTTCCCATAACAAATCATTGTCTATTTATGTACTACGCTGTAAACTACACCCGTTTCAGGGTGAATAATACCTCCCGGTTGCCGAAGTCAAAGTGTAGTTATCCTGAACCCGTGATCCGATCATTATTATTCCTGTGCTTAGACAAAAAAAAGCCACATCCTCTCATACGTAGTGGGAATTAGGTGGACATGAACATGGCTTAGGTCGAGATGAATTTGGATTTTTCAGTTTAAAACATGTGCAGCTGTTGCTCATCGGAATAGGCACTTGGTTTTCAATCGATGGGTCGCGTGTTAGAACCCAGTTCCACCTTCCAAGACTACACAATAGGTGCGGTTCATTGCCTGTTGAACAGATGTGCACAAAGCTGCTGAGTGGGTCTGTTTCTCGGTTTACTGTATACTGAATATAACAACCAGTCACTTAACGGAAGCCTCCACCAAATGTAAAGATCAAAAGTTATAGGTTCAGTAGCAGACAGTTTTGAACCATCATTTAGTAAGCATTAATCAATTAAAGGACATATAACACTGTGATCGAAGTTATTGGCATAGTACGGCCCTTTCGCCTTATGAAAAACTACACAAAACGTACTATGAGGCTTCATAGTTTGATTCGCAAACAGACTATACTGGTGTAGTGAACTCAGCAAGAACAGAAATGCTTACACTTGAAGATGAGATACAAATGAATATGCAAAACTCTTTTAAACGAAGAAAAACTTACTCAAGGACTATCTGGTGGTTTGGTCGTTCAATCCTCTGATTGTAAGATGTTGGGTGAGAATTTTTAGGTGGACGTCCACGACGGCGTTTCGCAGGCACGTGTGAAGGAGCCTCAACTTCACAAGCAGGTTGAGTAAAGCCTTTAACTGTATTAGAAATATGACCAGCTTCTTGGATTTCTGGATTAGTCAGTCTATTTGATAAGAGAGTTTGCTCGTCCCAAACGGGATAGTTAATTTTTAATCTCGATGTGCTAGAATCCCAAACAGAATCGGAGTGAGAACGGGGACGCGTAGTGACCTTGTGAACGGTTATCGTCGAGTCAAACGTTGCTTTATTAACGTCCATGATAAATCGATCACTTAAACTCCCACATGAGGTTGTAGAATTAGCAGACGATTCTGCAGAACTGATGCCTGAATCGACGATTTCAGATGTAGTGGAAGAACCCATTAGCCACGAGCCATTGTGAATAAATGATGTTTTAAGAACACATGCCGAATCAAGAGTTTTGTTCATTCCAGAAATATCCGAATCAGCTGTGAAGATCTCTTTTTTATCCTCTTGTAAATTTGAATGGGATATGTGGGAGTTTTTCAGATGAGGTGCTTGTAATGACTCCCATGAATAATTCAGGTGTTTTGGTGTTAAAACTGGAGACTGAACAAAAACTTTATTGTCCAGTTGTTCAGTTATTACAGGTTTGTGGTCAACGTTAGTATTATTGATATGGTCAACGCCAGTTTCTAATTTGTAAGAATATTCAGTCTCTGATCTACTGAATCTGGTTTTAAAACAAAATTTCCGGTTACACCTTTTAATTCGAGAAACACCACGGCTCCGATGATTGCGATAACTACCTCTGCTGACTGATCCATTTTTGAAAATAAAGTTACGCGACTTCTGCTTTGACTGATTATACATCAAGTCATGCATAACGCGAGTTATTAAGTTATGCGAACGTGCAACACGATGACGAAAGTAACGTTCCTCTATGTACCGATTATAAATACCCATTAATGCTAACTGCATAGCTAGCATGGAATAGAAAAGAAAATACACAAGAAGGTTAAGCATAAGAGGATTAAATATACATATTAAATATTCTAAATGAGAAATTTTCTTGAGAAATAAGTTAATATAAATTATCCTGTTGCAATGAGCAATAAAATCCTAGAATAAACACTTCTATACATTAGAAGTTGAAGTTAAATCAGCTGAAAACCAATAGAAGCTTGTGTAGTAATAATGGCAGTTTGATTGAGTGGAAAAACTAATGAATATGTAGGAATTTTAGTCACCTTTTTTAGAAATAATGAAAAATAATAGCCTGCCAAATGGTAGTGAATACTAGATTGAAATAATAACCCAGTAACATCATACACTAGAAGCTAAGAATTAGCAAGATACTTGCAGCTTTAGATCCTTGATTATTATACAGTCAGCTAAGACAGTGATAAAAATTCTGAATAACTGACTAGTGGTTACGTTGAAGTTCAGACCTCTTACCGGTACTTGCATTTAATTTGAGCTTAGTGCTCTTGATGAGATGTTGGTCGCCTACTCGGTTCGATCAATGGTTGATCCTGATTATGCTATATTTCCATTGAAACTAAGGGAAAAGGAGTGGCACAATAAAACCCAGGTGAAGGGAATTAATATTCAATCAGTCAGTACTAAAATGGTTCAAGTTTTCACACCTCACAAATGCATGTCAAGGTGCATGGTGACGAGACGGAAAACAAAGAAATACAAATAATATAATCATAATCCGTCTCAGTTGATGACTGTCGACAACCTCACAGACTGACTTATCTCTTTTCCTAAGATTTCACGCATAACCTGCGTTCATCGTATGTTGGTTCTATGACACTCAGGGAATATTGGTTGAATACTTGTAACGGTTATGTATAACAGTCATGCAGTAGGACAGAGAAAAGGGAGATTGGCTTATCAGTCTAGGCACTAGATTCAACCAGGAGCTCGCGAATTGGGACTCTATCCTAGTTACTAAGGTTTGGATAGATAGACAGTATAATTACCACTTGCAAAATGGGTCTGGTTCAGTGTCTAACGCACAAACCTGCATTTAATTGGGTTACATAAACATACGACGAACAGCTGAGCAATACAACAGACACTGAGCAGGCAATCAGATGTAATGATGGTACAACAATTGGCGTAAGCTGGTAAAACCTAATTGAGGCTTTTGTGGCTACGCTGAGGTTTCTTTGAGCACTGACCTTGTAGAGTTTTTCGAAATGAATGTTGAATGAAAACAAACTTTTTCCAAGGATACAGATGGAAGATACCTATGACTAATGATGCACAGCATTTTAAACGAGTTTCTTACTATCTAGGTTACCCTCGTAAGTGATTCAAAAAGACATTTACAGGTCGCTCGATAATTTGAAGTGTTTTTGTCAAATATTCATGAACTTTCATCTTTTGTTCGTTTGCAGCATATGGAACTGTCCACGTATTGGAGGAATAAAAAATTCACTAAATGTATGAAATAACTACTTTAGCCTGAACATTGACTATTACTTGGTTGAAAAACATGAAACTGTAACCAAAATATTTCGCATAAATATGATGTACAGTTCATTGATTTTAGCTAATTAAAGATAGGATTTTAAGTTCATGCATTTTTAATGGTTGGGTTCCCGAGTTCCCATATTTTTTTAGTGATAACTAGCTCTCATGCTAAGTAATCAGATGACTGAAACTGAGTTTATATACCACCTTAGCAACTGGTGAGACAGCTAATTATATTCCTTTGTTTCATAGAAAAGCATTCCTTCGGGTAAAATATCCAAGCCTGACTGGTCATTTCAGTAGTGTTGTTGGGTGGCCTTTAAAGTCACTCTGCAAATAGACCCACAGGAAAAGCTAAATACCTTTAGGCTTGTGTGTGAATTATTTCCTAGGATAATAAGATTTGGATAAAGCCCATTCGTACAGCTTTTAGAAAACCACTATTGGCGTTAACAGCTGAATGAACACTCTCATAAGAACTAGACACTAGTTTCATTTTCAAAAACTGAGTGTTAGCTAACGTCTTATCCTTTCAGCATAGCAGGAAAAATCATATAAATATTTAGGATTCAGGTTAGTAATGGAATTTAGAAGATCTGTACACACATCCCTAAATCATGGAACCCAGCCAATAAATATCAGCATGAGACATGGCATTACTGTGTAACGGTATAGGTTTCTGTATCACATAACATATGAAGATACAAGGCAGCAAGATGAAAGACGGAGAAAGCTAGAGAATGGGTGATAGAACAAACAACCAAATGCCGTAAATGACTTGGACAAAGATAATGATGTATGGATGCATCTGTACCACTGGGGTTGACTGTGAGCCATACCACCTAGGGCTTCAAGGCCCCAGTTTCAGTTGTCATGCAGATCCTGACTTAGAAGTTTACATTACCCTACAACTAATCTCTAAGATCCCTATATTTGACTTGACATGAATTCGTTCCAGCACATAGTGAAGTGTTTTGAAACAGTTGCAGCAAGTAGTATATATATATATATATATATATATATATATACATATATATATACCGGTCAACCACTGCTACCTTGGCGGGGTCAGGCTAAAATAACAAAACGACCCGAGCTTACAGTGCCTGGAACGCCTATTCCCTCGAGGTCTTTTCATGCCAGGTTTTCTGGATAGTGGTAGAACCAAAAGGATTTACAGTCGTAGTGTATCTGAGGACAGCGCCGTACAGTTGCTGGCTGGAAGGAGTGCAACAGCTTTAAAACGTTTCGTTTTGATAATTAGCAAGGTCACGCTGATGCGGACTTCTGGACGACGAGAGGCTAGAAAACGTCGGCCAGAAATGCGTAGCATGTTTTAGCTACTGTAGCAGGTATCGTCCTGAAATCGCATGTACAAACTTATCTACCTTGTTTAAGGCTGTCTACATAATACCGATATTCCTTAAAACCAGTCAAATTTGATAGGTTTTTTTATTAAACCCACAGCGGTCTTGTATCACAACTATCGAGTGGAATTGTGACTTATTGACCTGGAGATTTAACTTCTGAGCAATGTTCAAGTTCAGTATCACACTTCGTCTACTTCTGCCTGGTCACCCGGGGCATTATCATAAGCTATTACACTGTGTAACCACTACAAATAAACAAACCAACGTAGGACCTAACAAAAGTGCATCAGTCCAACTTGGCTAACTTCACAATGGCATACAAGGAAGTGTCTAAAAAATTATATTGAAGCAGAAAAGTGTGTTAGACGAAGGATAAAAAGACTCAGGTTAATGAAAATATTCAACACTTAGAAGAGGATACATCTATCTCATTATGGCCAAGCATTGGGTATCTCGTTAGCATTTTTCATCCATTGGTTCATGTCTTCTCTAGGACTGCAGCAACACTATATTTACCTGCGTGGTTCAGACCAACGATCAGAAACTATGATCTGATACCACATTTTGGCATGGTTAGATTTAGTTTTCTACAACCTAATCCTACATCATTTACTGTTGCACATTAAGGTAGGCGTTAATTTGATATGTGCGATAAATGTCCAGACGATTTAAGTAGGTGAATTTTCACAACTTCATCGACACTTGTATTCCTTGCCAAGTACCATACACCTAACGTCACAACTGCTCACACGGTGACAATACACAGTGAAGATGCATTCACCGTTTTCCACTAGAACCTGAGTATCTTCTCTCCTAATATCTTCAATCGATATTAGAATACTTAGGTTGTTGTATCGAACTTTAGACCAGACACTGATAAAGACCCACGATCAGTATGTTCGTTCCACACCTCATACAGCAGTTAGTGGAACCATGAACAGTTGTGATGTCTTTGCTTAAATTTTTCATTCGTTTGAATTCTAAAACATTAAGATCTGGCGACAGTTTTTCTACGGAGTTTAGTGATCAAACAACCACTTAATAAGACAGTAATTCTTCAATATGACGAAAATCAGACAAGGTCACAAGGTTACTTACCCTCGTCAAGTTCATCCCGATTTGGTAAAAAAGAAATCGAACTTACAACTTCTTCTGCAGAGTTCATATATTCCTGTAAAATAAAACTTCAAACTAGAAGCAACATACAAATTCAAACTCGTCCCTGCATGGCAAATATCCAAGCGACCTCTGATAGTCTGGTCTTAAATCACAAACAGAATGGACTTCATCTACATAATCAGACTGCCTGCAGGGATAAATATGTTCTGTGATACAAGGAATCGAGCAAACAAGTGAGTTTATTAACTCTTTCATCGCGCCTGACATGTAAAAATTCCCATAGTGATCCCGACAGTCAACAGAACTGTGCGGTTGAAGCTGTGCAGATATTTCATCCCTAAGAAGTAACACATGATTTTGCATCTACTCACCAGTTGCCGTAACCATAGGTCTCCAAGGCTTCTAGTAATTTTAATTCCTCTTCAGGTAACCATGTATTTTCGGTGGTAATTATATGACAACCGTCTTCAAAACCCTGAACCAACTAAATAACATCGTAACCAAAGTTACCTTAATGATATACTTGTGAATTTTCTTATGTTTTCCGCCCTCAACACCACAAGAGAAGCACTGCTTGGATATCAAAGCTATGTAATTTTCAACCAAACCTTTACACATATTTTTATCACAGAGCATTCAGCACACAAAATATAAAAGCCAGTTAGCTTTTCCAAGCAGTAGTAGCACCTTGACGACCTGTTGCTAAACATAGGCAGGAATGTACCGTTATTGTTGCATTTCGCATTTTCACTATCCAGTATCCAATATTTCCAATATCTTTCTTACGAGCTTCTGTAAACCAACTGGTTTCTTCGAGTTAATTTCTAGACCTTGTGCAACGGTTCCAGGTCACTGGTGGATTCCGATGCACTAAGTCTACCCACTTGCAGGCTGTAGCTATAGTATACATTACAGACGGTTGGGTGCTGATTAGATTTGTAGGGGCTTTATAATTTGTCAAAGAGTTGTAGTGCAGATGGGTTTCTTAGATGTATTGTGAACAGATATATGTTTGGAGTGTCTTTAAAAAGGAAAGGGATGAAAAGATGTTCAGTGGAAACAAGCGTGTGGAAGTGAGAAAAGCAAGTTGAATGGAAGCAGAACGAATAAAAAGGTGGGACATAAATGATTTCAGGGAAGGCAGGAAATAGAACTTCGATGAGGAGAACTTTCATAAGTGAGGTGAAATCATAAATTTAGAGGAAGGCAAAGGAGAAGATAGGACAGTATTAGGTGATGATAGGAACAGGAATGGTGACGCTAGTAGGAGGGGTCTGGAAACTGTAGGTGATTTCAGTAAAATGGATAGTACAGTGATAAGCCTTCAGAATTCAGTTTGAAGAGATAGTAAACAGCGGTTCCTAGGGTTGTGGTTCCGTCATTATGAGATACTTTTCCCAATCAAAGAAACCTGAAGGGATAGAGATAGCCAAGAAGTTCACTGATTAGCTAGCCATAAGTAGTAGTAGTAGTATCCATGGTTTGTAAGACAGTAGTTGATGCCTTTGATGAGGTCCGTTTGCAATGAAGGAGTTAACACGTGCAGTAAAGTGCCCTTTGAAAGCATTGGGGGATGGATCTCTAGTAACTTCTTCAGGAAAGTTGAGTGATGTCTCGATTAGAGCTGCGATTGATATGGTGACTGGCGTGACGCACTTCTCCAGAGTCATTGGCCTAGGGTTTGACGAGACTCAATACTGATGCTGACCTTGATAGTTTGGCTGAACTCGCTAAGCTGAAGGCACTCGGTCAAGCGTTCTCGCCATTTGGCACATTGCCGTATTACGTTGCACTGCCCGTAATCGACCCTCTAGCCAGTTGGTTGGAACACGTCGGTATCTTGTCACGACCTCACAAATGTGTCATCCCATCCGACTACGCTGATGTGTTCTTTCTTGGTCTCATATTCGTGTGTATATAACAAGTTCGAAGCATTAGTGACTGGCCTATGCATTTATCAAGTTTGCACCAGGATCATTCCTAAATGACCACTAGTGCGGGGTTTCTGATTGCAGACTAAGAGCGGCTAACTGGAATGAGTAGGATTATGGGCGGTATGGTAGGCCATAATCGTACCTCGTCTCACTAAGCCTGCAGTGTGCTGGGTGGAGCCTAAGAGCAACCTGACGTTCCAGACAAGACTTGTAGAGTAGCCTAATCACCTATTTTGTAGCTTTTTCTCTGAACCACTTCTAGAGTGGCTACGTGCTTCCTCGATCATGAAGACATAACAAGCCAGTTTTTCTCCATGTAATGGCGACCATGCAGATGGGACATCGACGTGGAAGGATCCGTCGTTAGACCCTATAGGGGCGAGACAGGAACCTCAAGACTCCATAAGCTTTGTTGGCTACAAGGCGATAATGCGCAGAAGCCCCAAGCGCGAAAACCTGGAGTGGCCTCGAAAATGTTTTCAGCGTTTGGGTGAGAAATATTCGCTTTCCCAAGGGAGTCGGAGTGTTTGTCGACAGTCATTATCTTCTACTTCTGAGTTTGAAGACAGCCCATATTCATATGTTTAATTTACGGTTGTAGAAAGGTCTTCCTATAGGACCCAGATAAGCGTAAGCCTATGGATCCGTCTCCGAATCCCTGGATCACCATGCCGTAGTGAGTGAGGATTCAGGGCGGCCAGGAAACCATTCACAAAGACAAGGGTTGATAGGGGACCAAGAATAGTGGCCCGGCGCAATCCACTCAGCGTACGAAACCATTTAGATGAAGACACAATTCTGGCTGACTGTCCCCACCTGCCAAGGAAATCCACACACCAGGTGAGTAACTTCACGTGTGCACCCATATGCTGCGGTTTCTTACACGGGATATCAGGATTAACCTTCTCAAAGGTTTTAGAAGAGTCAAGAAACACAATATGAATGGGCTTTATCTGCGCCTTAGAGATAGTCCATCCATTCCATTACCACGTTCGTGTCGCATTTCTTACCGGGTAGAAATTGTCGCTGCCGGAATCCAATAATCTTGGCCTGAACGCGGGAAATAACTAGGCGGTGCAAACTGACACGAATCTGACTAGTTCCTGCGTCCTACTGTATGGCTTCCTAACTTCCGCGAGTGACGCAGAGTCAAAGGTTGGATCAAAATATCAAAACACGGTTTGTAGTAATTCAATAGTGGATTCGCAACAAAATCTGTGGTACTATCAAAACAACAATAAGTCGTGTAAAAATTACAAAAATACCTCAACAGTGACGTTGGGTAACTATACAGTCCAAAACGTTCTCGGGTACAAATAAGTACTACACGGTAAAAACTGGTTAAGCAAATACAACTGTTAAGTACCTGTCGGTCAATAGGAATATTCCCGGCAAAAGGGATCAAAACTCTGCCTACAAGAATCAAATCAACAAACAAACGTTCCCAGTAGACAGTCAAAAGACAAACAGTCAAATCACTGCACAACCGTAAGTTGAACCACAACAAAATGTCGGGCGCAGTAAAACAACATCACCTTGACAACAGTCCAGCGTCACATAACAGGGAAGTGAAACATTCATAATAAGTCTCAAACATACAAAGGCAAATACCGAGTATAAAGTCAAATAGGACAGTTAAACAAGCAAATAACATTGCACCGGCTAGGGTCAAAGGTATACCATCCATAACGAGGGTAAAAATGTTAAAATAAATGTCAATACAATCAAATGAGGGTGATCGGGAGGGATTTTCGGATCAATTTTCCGTTACAGAAATCCATGCTGATAAACTGAGAATTAAGTTGCTGAGTAACTAATCACGAATCGAATTATTTACCATTCTTCTAATAACCTTCGCGACTTAAGGCAAAAAAGTATCGATCTATAGTTAGAGGCATTTCATTGCTATCCATATATTTTGGGACGACAGCCACTCGTTTCCACTAAAAGAGCGATCTATCTTCTGGAAATAAGGGAAACATAGCACCACAGTAAGTATGCAAAGATCGACAAGACGGACAAGTGTAAGTATTGTCCTCAAATGGTTCAAATGTTTGTTGATGGAATAGTAGAAGCCCTGGCTTTACTGGTTTCCGCGTCTAAAATCCGTGGGTCACTATTTCTTGTGGTTGGCAACCTGCGTACAAGTAAAGAAACCAGACAAGTGGCGGTTAAGATATGGAAATTCAATCAGCTCTGAGAGATCCCAACCACGTGTCAAGTAAGTGTCCGGTTGTCGTTTAAATGATCCAGACCAGGCAGCCTGGATCACTTCTACAGGAAGTGGGTTCCAGGGTCTAACAACCCTTGGGGAATAGAGGTTACGCCCGATGTCTAACCTGCTATATTGGTAAGGGGCAAAAAATCAAAGCACAAACTCTGAGAAAACTTGGCATCAGACTAAACCAAGACTGGAACCGAGGTAACGCCTCGATATTCTATTACGAACAGATATCCACTTAGAGGTAGGGCAGATTTATCAAACTTGAAGCCCAAGGGGGCACTCCTACTGAAGACCGGAGCTTCGCTACGTTTTTTACAACAAAAGCCAAGGTACTAAATCACGGTAAGATTGAACTTTCATCTAAAGGTGCGCGCTGACTTCAAATTATCTAACAAACTACGGTTTTCATTCGAAGACTACATGTATTGTTTGGAGAAAAATGAAGTTCGAAGCGAATGCTTCCTATGTTGCACACCGTACATTTTGCTCAAGAACAATGATGAGAAGTTCGTGCAATCTGTTTATTTATTGTATTTTACCGATTACAGAACTGTGGATCTCATGTATTCTCGCAACAGGTCACATCAACTATTCATAATCTTGTTTTAGTGTCATTGCCTGTATGATAACGTCGTTGGTTAGACGTAATTGATCGGTCTCTGTTGGCGTATGTGCTCCTGTGCGGATGCCTCGATATTGCCAGTCTTTAAGCTATGTATGGTAATGGTGGACAGTAATTAGCAGTGGAATCCAGGGTGCGCATTTCGTCTTATTCGGGACTCGTCAGCTGGGTGTACCTACCTCCCAGTGAGTGATGTCGTTCCCACCAGGGTTCGGGCCCGGAAACGATCGCATCATACGCCAGCGCGTTATCCACTGCACTACCGAGCCACGATAGCCACTTCTTGTGCGACTGTGGTAACAATATCACTCACTGGGAGGCAGGTACATCCGGCTAACGAGCTCTAGATAAGATGAAATGCGCATCCTGGATTCTGCTTCTAGCCACTGCCCATCATTACCATACATACATATTCAAAATCTCGCTGAATATTGCGACTGCGAGCCGAATATCTGCATTTTTCAACTCTGGCATCGGAAAGTAGTAGTTCTATTAGAACGCATCGAGCAGATACCTGGAACACGTCCGCCATTTTCATGGGTCGTGTTGGCACCATATGGAACGCCCGTAAACAGTGGTGTCGTAGTGTCTCTTCACTGTGATCACAACACCAGTGGCGTCAACTAGTCGGAAGTTAATGTTTTCATTTCTATCACCTACTTGTGACACCTGAATAAAGGTAGCATCCTCCTTACCCCGCTAGATGTAATAACCGCACCCGTGAAAACGATGTAAACCTGCGAATTCAGCGATAAATATTACCATTATTACTATCCCTAAACATCCGCGTCTGAGATCAGGACACTTTGGAAAACGTAGATAACAATACGTCAGAAATGTCAAGGAGCAAAGATAGTATGCTACAGTATATCTTGTTCAGTCCCTGTAATTTTCAAGGTCTTGGGTCCCTGAGCAGCAGAGGGATTTTCC